CACCACATTCTCCTTCCCCTTCCACTATACTATCTACCCATAATGGCTTAATGTCTGCCATCCAAATAGTTTTCTTTGATCTTGTGAAGAGATCTTTGGGGTGGACTCCCTTATAGATCCTGAGAGATGGTATCATCTCTCATTTATTTATTTTTATTGTATTTCCTGGTTATTAATTTTCCCTACATCAGTTGGTATCAGAACAAGAAGATCCAACATCACAATGCCACCAAAACATGCTCATACGACTAATGATTTAATGTCATAGATTATAGAATGTATAAACAAAGCCATGGAGCAGAACATGAAGGGCATAAAGCGAGTCAAAGAAGGAATTCAAGAAGAGATCAGTGATGCGAATCAGTGTTTGCAACGGTTAGAGGAGACTATTCTTCGACAAGATGGTACTCGCAATCATATAGATTTGGTGCCAACTTTTACCTTAGAGACAAAACTACCTCCATGATCAATTCCAGATATCAATCTTATATGTAATGAGCAAATTGTGATGCAAGAACCACAATCTAAGGAACATCCACACAATCTTGATATTAAGATCGAACTTCTAGAGTTACAAGGAGATTAAAAAGAAATCAAGATTATGATTGACATCTTAGAGTTCCCTTATAAGCTGCACATCGAGTATTTGAGTTATGAGTTCATTGAAGAAGAAAAAGAATCGAGACAGATGACAGGTGTATCACCAATATTGGAACGTCCTTAATAGGATGTGATGAATTCAACAAAAACAAGGTCCTGGGAGCATGATGCAATAAATTTTTTTTGTTATTCTTACTTTATTATTTTTTAAGAGATCAAAATTTAGGTTTAGGGGTTATATTGGGTTTTTAATTTTCGTTAAGGTTATTTTTCTTTTTTAGTTGAAGAGATTTGAGGGATAGAAATGGAAATTTATTTTTTTATTAAAGACGAAAGGATAGGATTTGTTAGGGTTTCTCAAGGAACAAGTTAGGTTTTAAGTTTACTTCTCCTATAAATTTGTAACTATTGGTTCAAAAAGAGATGGCGAATTGGATAAGGAAAGAGTTTTCTTTGATATTGTGAAAAGATCTTTGGGGAGGACTCCCTTGCAGATCCTGAGAGAGGCCATTAATCTCTCATCTATTTCTTTTTAATGTTATTTCCTGGTTTCTCCTTGCATACTATCTCATAATCGTAGCCCATAAGTTTTGTAACCCACTTCTGTTGCTCCAAGGAAGAGTTTCTTAGTTCCATGAAATATTTAGGTTCTAATGATCATAATGAATGGGGAATCATCGACCAATCAAGAAAGGCAACCATTTGGTATTTCCTTCTCACATGATGAAAGTGCCAAGTTCTTACTAAAAAGCACCATACTATAAAAGCCAAAGGTCACCCCTCCTACATGAGTACCATACCTAATGTTGTTCCTGAGGCGTCCACTTCAAGACATTAAAGGCCAACTTGGCCTTAGCAGTTGCCCTTTGATGCCAATACAAAGGCATTCTTCTTGAGTAAATTAGTGAGCAGGGTGCTGATTTTGCAAGTGTCCTTGACAAACTTATTGCAATATTCAATGAACCCTGTAATATTCAATGAACCCCAAGAAACCATGCAAACTTTTTAAGGTTGTAAGGATGGTCCAATTACCATACTCAAAATCTTCCAAGGATCTGCCCAAACTTCTTTGTTGCTCAGAATGCGACCTGAGTACTCAACCTCTTGCTGCCTAAAGGAGCACATGCAGCACTTGAAGTGGAACTTATTCCATTTAAAATATTCAAAAAGTGCAAGCTAAGCGGTCAAAGTGTTCTTCTGAAGCGGTATTATAGATGAGTACACCATCACAAATACCAATACAAATTTTCATAAATATGATCGGGATACATCATTCATTAAACTTTGGGACTATGGTGGACCATCAATGGACCAAAGGGCATTTATAGGAACTCATAATGGCCCTCATGAGCATCAAATGCAGCTTTTGGAACATTATCCTCTTTACTTTGACCTAATAGTATCGGATTGAAGATTGACTTTCGAAAAGTACATGGAGCACATCTGGTAATTCATCAATTACTAGTATGGAAAAGTTATCCTAGACCATGATGGAGTTCAATGCTATGCAATCCATACACATCATCCATGTTTCTGACCAAGAGCACTGGTGAGAATAAGAGTTAACACTTGGGCATAAGATGCCTGCTCCTTCATTTCACAAGCTTTTCAATCTCTACCTTTTGCATGAATAGCTATTCGGGTTCCCAGAATCAAAGGAATCGAATGGTCATAGGGAGCATTAGGGAGGTAATTCAGTTCATCAATATATCTAAATGTTGCTCGAGCAATGAGAGACCGCATGTTGCTCCACCTCTTGCTCTTTCACAGACTAGGAAAGGGGTTGGGGCACCATTCCCAAAGACCCTTTGCAAATCAATCTCTCCATGAGATGACAACCGATTATCTTCATTCGACTGGCTTGTAACCATTGCAGCCTATATTGCTACTCCTCAAAACAAACTACATCCACAATCAAACAATTACATAAAATGGGTTCTAGAGTCCAAAGCCACTAAGCCCTAACACAATAAAGACTACATATCTAGCTTCCAATGGTAGCCTGCCATGGTCAAGGGTACAACCCTTATAAACCAACTTACCACCATTAGTTATCATGAACACAAAATTTTCACAGGGATAAACAAAAGTTCAACTTGCTTTGTAACATTAGGGTCGATAAATTGTGGTTGCTACATGAATTGTTCAGTATGGTAACTAGTTGTTTCTTTCCATAGCTCTGGACTCGCATGGTTTGGAGCAAATTGATCGCTGCTAAAGTGTGCAACAAATTGTCAGGGTTCCCTTCTGCATAGATGGGTGGATCACCTCCTTCTTCGTCATGGCTTACATATTTCCCTTGTTTTGACATCATTGGCTTGAAGTTGGGATAAGCCAGTGACCTCCACCATTGTCTTAGGCATAAACATACAACATCATGCCTAATTTCCCCCATAAGTCCTCTAATAAAACAAATAGTAAAAAATGCATCACTAACGCCAGGCACCAGTCTTACTTCTCAAATTGAGTTGGATACTCCCGAACAGTAGATGTGGCTTAGTGAGGGCTCCTGTGAGAAAGTCAAATTGGCTAAGCCCAAACCTGGTGTAGAGAGCATTAACGAGAGCCACTTGTCCTTTCGTACCATTGCACTGCCTCGATCCATACTGCATGACCCTAAACTACTCTGCCTCAGTCAATACTGCATGACCCTAAACTGCTCTACCTCGGGCCATACTGCATGACCCTAAACTACTCAACATCGGTCCATACTGCATGACCCTATTCTACTCAGCCTTGATCCATATTGCATGACCCTAAACTGCTCAGCCTCTGTCCATTCTGCATGACCCGAAACTGCTCAGCCTCGATCCATACTATACGGCCCTAAACTGCTCAGCCTCAGTCCATACTTCATGACCCTAACCTCCTCAACCTCGTTCCATATTGCATGTCCCTAAACGTATTAGCCTCGATCCATATTGCATGACCCTAAAATACTCAGCCTCCATCCATACTGCATGACCCTAAACTGCTCAGCCTCTGTTCATACTGGATGACGCTAAACTGCTCAGCCTCAGTCCATACTTCATCACCCTAAACTGCTCAAGACTCGATCCATACTGCATGACCCCAAACGGCTCTACCTCGGTCAAAACTGCATGACCCTAAACTGCTCACCCTCGATCCATACTGCATGACCCTAAACTGCTCAACATCGGTCCATACAGCATTACCCTATACCGCTCAGCCTCGGTCCATACTACATGACCCTAAACTGCTCAGCCTCGATCCACACTGCATAGCCCTAAACTGCTTAGACTCGGTCCACACTACATTACCCTAAACTGCTTAGCCTCGATCCAAACTGCATGACCCTAAACATCTCAGCCTCGGTCCATACTGCATGACCCTAAATAGCTCAGCCTCGGTCCATACTGTATGACCCAAAAGTGCTCCGCCTCAGTCCATACTGCATGACCCAAAATTACTCAGCCTCAATCCATACAGCATGATCCTAAACTGCAACGCCACAGTCCAGACTTCATGACCCTAAACAGCTCAGCCTCTGTCTAAACTGCATGACCCTAACACTATCACCCTCGGTACATACTGAATGCCTTGCTTCATGCTCTAAATGAAAGGAGGCCAAATTGACCTTTTGTTCTTCAGCGGTTTGCCTAAATGTGAAGAACTGCTTTGTGTGATACACCCAACAAGGGGGTCCTACTAATAAAATTGCGGGAAGTCACTGCATGGGGAATGCATCGAGAATGCCATACTGTTGCTGGTAGGAGCATGACGTGGGCCTCCTAATGACCCTAAGTGTTCATGGGGTGGTCTGAAAGCTTAGACCTAGTGAAAAGGAGGTCAATCTGAGAGCCCAGTAACGCATGATCTTCCAACGAACTTTCTTTATTTTACTTCATCTCTTGCTCTATCTTTGTTGCTCAATGCAATCTCATTCCCTCAACCATAGTTATGCAACTGGAACAGCTCGCACAGTGCCAGATATAACCAATCCCAAGAAGATCAGGAAAAAAAAAAAGAGCGATTTTATCAAGAAAATATGACACTCGACAGTGGAAGGGAAAAGATACACACTTATATCACTGCTAATTCTCCAAAGATTTTTCCAGATTAAAAAGAAAAACTCCGAATATTACCACCACCTTAATTCCTATAAAACTCCAACAATTAATTGAATTTCAAACCCGATCAATTTTTCGATTTCAGCATACAAAGGAAACTCCTAATAATTTATCAAACTTCAAACCCTCTGAATCAATTTCAAACTGCAAACCACTACAATAAAGGTCTCCTCTTTTCTAGAATTCACAGCTGAAAAAACAGATATATGATTGAAAATAAATTTTATTGCAGGAGCCAGGAACCATGATTGCAGCATGAAAATACAACAAAAAACAATTGCGACAAATGGGGAGAGACAGTTGACTTGCCAGTAAGCAACAACCGATGAAACCAATGAATATCATAGGGGGCAAAGGAGGGTCCTGAGGAGGATTAGGCCTCGCTCGCTGAGCATCCATCGGGATCCAAGAAAAACCCTACTTTTTCTCTCTCTAAAACCCTAATTTTCTCTCTGAAAAAAATCTTGCCCGCGTAGGCATCCTGAACCTGGGGCACTCTGATTACAATTTAATGGTTCCGCCGCCGCATGATCGAAATTTTCCCGAAACTCTAGGTTTATCAGATCTCGGCGAACCATATGATGGATCACTACCGTCCAAACAATGAGATGGACGGTTATGCAAGGGGTGGAGACGCGGAACGCAAGCAATGGAATGTACGGTTGGTCCATCCTCCTTCCATTTTTCAACCCACGGTGATGAAGTCCCCTTGTCCGTGCGGATTGTCCTAAATATTGTCCATAATGTCGTTCAATAAGGACGCGAAGGTCAATATCCCCATGAGCATGATAAAGTTTGTAGAAGGTTGCACATGCCTCTCAAAAATTCATCGGAAAAAGGTTGTTTTGATGTTGAAGAAAAAACCACTAATTGATCATTTCGACATCGAGATCTATACATATAAAAATAAAAAAGATTTTCAATCTTAAAAATAGCGCATCTTACAATACATTATCTAGACAATCAATTTTCATATGTTTATATATCGAGCAATGATCTAATGCAACGGTTGCATCATAGTACAATGCAACGACACTTCTAAAAAATCATATTTGCGGTATTTGTATGACTCCAAATTTTGCACACACACTCTCTTCATCTCAATAATCAACCCGCCCCCTCCCCCCCCCTCCCAAAAAAAAATAAAAAGTTCAATTTGAACCCTAGATAGGGTCACAATGTGTCCCATCCAAAAATGAATCTAGACCATTCATTTTGTAAATTTCAAGTTCTTAGCCTTTATAAACTTAGAATCGTTTTTTCCTTTTTTAACATTGTTCATCTAATTATAATAAAGCCATCCAAAATTTTGAAAATGAAAAATCCTTTTAAGGCCTAGATCTAAACATCTCACCAAAATAAACAGCCTATGTTAATTGTGCTAAAAAAATACTTTCTAGGTTGTTTTTTCAATTTAATTTTTTTTTAATTGTTCATTAGAATAAAAAACGTGTATGTTTCATAATTTGGATTAAACAAAAGGTCATACGACGTTTTTTTAAAGTTGTTGCATCATATTATTATACAAAGGTTGTATCAAATCATTATATGACTATGCAACGGTTGCATGGAATCATTGTTCTTATAGATCTACTTGACTTTAACCATATTTGGAGCCTAAAATTTTATAATTAGATATGAAAATAGATTTTGAGATAATCCTAAAAAAATTTTCACTAAAATTTCACGGTACAATAAAATTTGGAGGTGTGCCTTAATTGGATTGTTTAAAGTTGCAACCTTATAAAAACCACACCCGTATGAAAATGCTTATACATGATTTTTTTTTAATAATTTTTGTTGTCCACCGATTCGACTGATATCGATCTTTCAATAAATGGGTGTCCAATTAGTTTATTGTAATTTTTAAAAGATCAAGTTTTGGTGAGTCAGCTGATTCTCCAATTCATATGCCTTACCCCTCCAAGATTCATGCCAAACAGATATTTTGAATCCAACTTTTTAGGGACCAATGTTCTAAAACATGAACATGAATATAAAGAAATAAATAAATTTTAAAATTTTAACTTAATAATTTTTTACACCATCTATCTTGAAAATTTAGTTGGGCCTTTCTTTATGGCGTCCCATCTTAAAAGATGGTGTTTGACGGTGATGCAGTCCCCTGACTCATCGAACACTTTTCGATTCTAAACCAATTGGATTGGCTGATGTCTTAATAGGGTTTTTGGACACTACATGAGTTGGACTTTTTTGAAACAATTTATTTTATTTTTAAAAATTCCACAATGGAATTATAAAGAAGGTCGAAAATAACACGAAATTTTGTTTTCCATCCAGAAATCCAATTCATTGAGACGTATATTAGCAATCAATGGGCCAAGAATTCCACAATGGCCCCATGCAGCTACCTTGGCTGCCTCCTCTGGCGCATAGCCAAAGAAGGTCCTTAACCAGTAAGGGTCGGGTTTTGGCTCATACTCATCCAATATCTTCTTACAACTACCAGTAATGGTCGGGTTTTGGCTCATTCTAATCCAATATCTTCTTGCTACTACCTTTCTTCTTCTTCTTCATTCACAGTTCTAATAGGAGTTTTTAATGCAGATCATATCAGGCTTAATGACTCTTATAACAGTGTGTGCGTTCTCAAAGAACGGTTCCAAGATCATATGCAAAACTTCTTGAACAATACTATCTTGACATGGGTCTTATTAGAATCCAACAACAGTTTTAGCCTTCTCCTTGAAATGGGTCTCATCAGTTCTGTCTCCCTAGGTGATTGAATATATATACATAGCGGATTTTCATGCCCAACAAATACTGTGAGTGCAAAACAGCATTTCTTAGATAAAGAAGGTCTTTAAGGGTGGAAAAATGGATGGCATTGCGAGGCGGGAATGAACCCACTTCATCAGCATGGGCTCTCTGATATGCGAGGATCCAGAGGTCGAATTTCCTAAGAAAACCAGTGAGATTTGAGAGAGTTTTGTTTGGATTGGGGAAGGAAGAGACCCAGAGGTGGAAGCATACCTCAATTGGGTCTTCTTTCATGAGAGAGAAAGGGTAAGGGTCCTCGTGTTAGCCTTCTTTCTTGGTATTTTTTATGACGAGGGGATGACAGAGAGTGGAGAAGGGGGGTGGGGAGGCAGCGCCTATGTATTGTTCTGAGCATTCTTGCTCTTGCTCTTGCAGCGAGAGTGACGCTCTCTTTCTCTCTCTCTCTTCTTTACTTTGAAACTGGTTGACTCGTGAAATACAAAGTGTTCAAAACCACAAGGTGCACTAAAAATGGCAGCCCACAAACTGCGTGCTCACAGCACAGACTGCAGCACAGCGGGAGAGGGTGAGAATAAACTCCAAAGGAACCCAAGAAGAAAGAGAAAACAAATTAAGAGAGAGTGCCAAATGTTAATCACGTCCTATGTTTTTGTCTTTTGTAAAGGGTTGTCATTCCTAAAGGTGACCACGATAAAAGTTAAAGAAAAAAATATTTTATTTAGTACTTTGTATTTTATTATGAGTTATTTTATAACATGTGACATTTTTTAATAATTACATAGCATTATCAATATTTGAATTAATTATTACTTATTCTGTTTGGATGATAAATACATCAATTTAGTAATAAATAACAAAAACTTTTATATTTTTATATTTTATATCAATTAATAAAAATTAACGTGAATATAATTAATCGTTGTTGTTCAATTAAAAAGAACTTAATAATCGAATAATACCTTTTCTAAAATGTTATTTCAAAATAAAAATTTATTCAATTATAACTACATCATATCGCGTGCAATGCATGTGAAACTCTAGTGTAAAGGAAATATTTAGGAAACGCCTGCTCTTCAACATGTCCAAGAAAATGAACATTTCAAATGTAGTGCATAAGGACTTAGTCGTCGTACTCTTCCTCTCCCTTTCCCAAAAGAGATGCCTTCAATAATGTGGCGTTTATATAGAATAAAAAGGATGATAGTTTTTTTTTTTTGGAAGTAGAAGGGAATTAATAGTTTGATAACAGCCATAACTATCATCATTAACTTGTAAATTGGAATTGAATGATGATCATAACCCTACAATAATGCACAAAACTGTTAAAAAGATCTATTCTCATGTAAACACGAGTCTCTGACTACTATTATAAATAAATAACAGCATTTCAAGAGTAGCACTTGCCATATGCATTAAGATGAGTCGAGTTGCATATACCGACAACTAATCTAACATGACAACCCACCAAGTTGCATAGGTTGTTGGCAAAAGTAGAACCATTAATAGCAAAAAAAATGAAGAGAGAAATGATGAGACAGTTTTGGATGCCCTTGTTCACACCCCCACACATACAAGCAAAATAAATGAGAAACAAGTAAAGCAGTTTTGCCAGTTTGCTCTTATCTGGTTGTTCATGTAATAAATTGATCATTATATATCAGTATATGTCCAATAAAAACAAATTCCTGGAGAAAAGACAAACCGTAACATGATAACATATTACAATGTTCAGATCCTTTTTTAGATTATTTTAAGGTCCATTTTCGATACTCCCTCCGATGTCGACGATTGTTGAAAATAAAACTATAACATTGCACATAAATTACATAGCATAAAGTACCCTAGCAGTAAAGACCACCACAATTACTATCCGTATCTATATATACAACATATCCATTCACCCAATGAACCATGTCCTTTCAAGTCATCGCCATACCACTGCCACAGGGGTTCAGCCTTTGATGACAAACTTTTATTCTTCATCCAAGGGTGATCCATCTGGCTTGCCAGAATAAGGATTCATAACCCTACCATGATGCATTCTGAGCAGCCATGTATTGCATTTGAGCGACTACCATTGGATTGACAGCAGAGCTTGCATATTGATTTTGTCTTCTCATATTTCCCTGCATTCACCAAACTTCACCTCTCATTCCATGAATTCTATCAAGGAAAAAATACTAATAGTGAAACCCAAAAGAGAAGAGAAGTCCGCATAGTCCCTGACAAAAACAAGAGCATACTAGGAAATCATATTGCCGATGTTTAGGAAACATCAAATAAGGATCCACATTACTAATGAGCAATGCATAAGATTCAGTGGATGCCTCTTTCCTCATTTATTTTTTTCCATAATTAACGAAAGAATGCCATAGTAACATATACATCAAAGTGCAGCCAGGGGTCAAACAAGATATTCATAGCAACAAAACACATGTAGGGGTCAAAGGCAATAGAGAAAAGATTCACATTAAACTCAAACTACGCACACAAGAAATTTGGGGATAAAATGGTATCATGAATTTAAACTTGCACATAAGAAACATCAATTTTTATTTCCCTTAAATCGGCAGGGAGGCACATATGGGCCCTGCTTACTTCAAGCTTCTCCTGCTAATTCACTCATCAATTTTTATTTCCCTTACATCGGCATAAAGGCACCTATGGGCCCTACTTAGTTCAAGCTTCTCCTACTAATTCACTCATCAATTTTTATTTCCCTTAAATCGGCAGGGAGGCACCTATGGGCCCTATTTACTTCAAGCTTCTCCTGCTAACTCACTCCCTGTCCCACCTACTTTGGGTAAGGAATGAACAACCAATCCACCTTTGACATATATGATGTATGGAATTCGTTTGCCCTCTGGCGAGATGATGTTGCGAGAAGTGGCATCCCTACCAAAGGAAACAACCTTGTCAAGATAAGATATTAAAAAAAAAAAATAGCATAATCTTCAGAGAGAAGGGGTTGATTGTGGACAGGATAAGATAATGCAGTTTCCAACATAATTCATTCCTTGATCCAGCAAAGCCTATAGACCATATGCCATTAAAGCTTTTCTAGACATAAAGAACCATAGAAAATGCATATATGAGATGATGAGATAGCTATGACTGTTGATCCCATAATCTATTAGCTAACCCAAAATCCAAGTAAGAAACTCCCAACTATCATATAAAAGGTGAGAGAGCAATGATAATGCCACTCCCAAAACCATTTAATACCTAGATAAAGGGTATGAACTGCGGCAGCAATGAAGCTCCAGGTATCTTCTAGAATTATCAGTTAACTACTTGACCAAGGAGAGTAGAGAAAAAATATGTAGGAGCTATAGAAGGCTTATAAGGTTGCCTTGCCAAGTCACCAAAGTAAAAGCATAGATGAGTTTGTTGATGATTGAATCACAAAGGTATTATTCATGGGGTGTATTGATGCATCTAAAAATGTATGCCTGAGATAAGAAGCATTTACTTGAGCAACTAGATGAGATGGTGTAGGGTACTGTCTCATCCATTTACAAGGGAAGTGCAACTGATGAGGCACTTTTACAGATGGGATTCTACATGGTTATCACATAACATGTCTTTCAATAAAAAGGTAGGATTGCTGAAATATGTGTATTCAGCATATTTTGTGAAAAATAAAAAGCATAATGGACTAAGAGTAAGTGAGCCCAATGATGCAGGTACAAAATAGAGTAAGGAAATGGTCCCTTTATCTATGGAATTTGACCACATTAAGAAGCAAAAGAAGTTTGAATAAGGCTCAATGAATCCTCAACAAGTTATTTGTGCTTGATTTAGGGCAAATGGGAGGGTCTTCATTGATGTGTGCGAGCATTTGTTTATGGGACCCAATTTAAGACACTTTACAACAAAAATCTATGCAGTCCCAAAGTACAAGACATGCACATAATTTGATTATCCAAGGAAAGAAAAGGCCAGCCACTATCTTTCATAGAAAAAACAGAAGCAAAATGGGTTCTATTGGTAAATTGGCGTGAACGATCAAGAAAATTTTTCACCTTTACCTTTAAAAAAATAAGGTTTTGCCTTTTCATTTGAGTGGGTGAGCTAGGATTCAAACCTTTAATCCTATGCAGGATTCAAACCTTTAATCCTATGCAGGATTCAAACCTTTGATCCCATGCTTCACACACACATACGCACATGCACATGCACATGTGCACACTCACAAAACAAACAAAAACAAAAAGGAAAAAGAAAAAAAAAGAAGGAAAAGACAAGGTCAAAATCAATCGTGAACCAAGAATGAGAGAAGCAAAACATTGCCTAAAATGAAATCATTCAGGTTTTGTCTCAGGTTATATAATAGTTCTTTCCATTTCATAGTAAAGAGCCAAGCACTTCAGAACAGAGGAAAAATAAAAGAAAAAGGGGAAAATTAAAAAAAGAAAGAAAAAACTAAATATATGAATTATATTCCATTAAACACACATATAACCAGAACAACCTATTTATAACTAAGAAAGGAATTTTAAAATAATATCACAGAAGTTAAGAAATAAAAAACTTTCAACTGTTGTGCATCAATTACGACAGCCTGCAATCTGACATGAATTTATAAAAACCAACACAACAAAATAAGGAGGACAAATTGAAAAAAATAAAAAACTGAACAAACATAGTAGCCCTTTATAAATTTTGGCAACTAGAAACTTATATAGGAATAGAAATGGAAATCAAAGTAATTGATTGAGAGACAATAACAGAGTGGGAAAAGAATTCTGATTTGCCCTAGAACTAGAATGAAAATTTGATAGCATTTAATTCCAATTCGCACAAATAAAAAAAAAGTGAGGAGGTGGCTTAATTACCTCAATAGTAATGATAAGAATAAGACCAATAAGCAGAAAAAGGAGGCGCTCGACCCCAATGCCAATGGATGAACCTGAAGAACCATAGAGCTACCAACGTGCTGCTAAAATGCTCGTTAGGTTTTCATTTCGGCGCTGAAATTTGTTTTTGATTATGTATTCATTCAGCTAACGAGTAAACCAACAACTTTACATATAGAGAGCCTGAAATGTAGAAGTTTATTGGGGCATGAGGAGATGACAGAGAGAGCAGATGAGATGAGAGAGAAGAGTTTGGGAGGTTTAGAGAAGAGAAAGAGAGAGAGAGAGAGAGCAAAGGCAAAGAGGAAGTGAGAGAGCAGATGAGAGAGAGAGAGAGAAGGGGGAGACGTACCTGGTTAGGGTTTCGCACGAGGGAGGAAAAAGGGAGGCTAGGGTGGCTAGGGTTTCGCACGAGACTAGGGCTCGAACGAAAGAAGGGGGAGCCTTGTTGGGACAAATTTATCACGCAAATGTTCTGAATGTTTATCTTCCATGGTTCCCCACGGAAGTTAAACATTCCCCATTTTAAAGAGAAAGGCGAACTTAATGACAAAGGTTTGAGTTCCTTTGACTGTAGCACTCCATGTACATAAAATGCGGAAGTGGTACAGTAATGGGGAACGTTCTTTTTTAGAGAAGAACCTTCCTCTAAACAAACATGCCCTGAATGTAAAATCCCTTTGTACTTTACCCAAAAGAAGAAATGAAATTGGAGACTGCTAATGCTCGAACCAGTGTTTCAAAAAAGGGATCAATGGGGTAGATCATTCACCCATTGATTATGATCTATAATGGCGGTCCACGAGAGAGCGAGAGAGAGAGAGAGAGAGAGAGAGAGAGAGGAGGGGAGGGGGAGGGGAGGGAGAAGAAACTAAATAATTAGTTAGTACTACTACTACTATTACTACTACTACTACGTTACCGTTTACCTTTTAACCTTAAAGTTTAAGGGTTCGGGGTCCGGTACCTAACAAACTAACTTCGTTCGTCCCTA